AAATAATTAAAAATAAAGAAGCAGAATGTGCACAGTTTTCCAAGAACCTAGTTGCATACCACCCAAATACATACAAACAAGGTGGAATAGTCTCGCGATATTCATGCGGCATGTATCTAAACACGCAAGTGTTTTCTTTGTATTACCTCTAATTAAGATTTTTTTCAGAGAAAAACAATCTTAGCTAATGCTCTGATGATAACAACCGAAGAACAGTATATGTTGGTGGACTGCCTGAACGAAGTGTTCAATGCGTGTGAGATATCGTCCAAGTTCTGCTGTAGGAACAAGTGTATTTTGTCGGAAGGTTATGCTTCCTTAAATGTAGTGAGAGAAAAGCTAATAATGAAATAAGGAAATCAGAATAAAAATGAAAATCTTCAATTTTTTCATTCTTGTTCCGTTTGAAAATGAATCTGACTGCTGACGAACTTTGGGTTGGCTTTACCAAACTTCCGGGAGTTGCAGAATGCAATATTTGTAAAATACGTCTGAAACGTACAGGATCCCAAACCTCATCACTGAGGTACCACCTTATCCATAAGCATACAGAAGATGCCGTACACATCAAAAGTTCGGAACTATAAAAAAATCATCCTCGTTAGATGATTTTTTGGATGTTAGAAGAAAAATTGATAAAAGAAAACAGGTAAAAGTATATGCAATATTCTATAATAACCCTATAACATTTTCAGACAGAAATTAACAATGCCCTTATCGCGCTCATAACTCACGCTCGTTGGAGTTTGCGAAATTCACTCGTGCTCTGAACTTAAATTATTGTCCACCATCACCACCAAACCTCAATCGTTTGATTGAAGAGAAGGTTATAGCGGAAGAGGAGAAGATTTAGCTGGACTTGCGGAACGAAAACTATTAAAAACATTACTATTTCTTTAATAAAACTTGAAAAACTAAAAAGAAACCTAGAAATATTTTAGATAAAAAATACATATGAAACAACTGTTTAAAGGAATTTTCTCAAAATTCATTTTCAGACAGGTTTCAGAAGCGAAAAAGTGTGTGAGGTATTTTGCTGAGGGAGAGCCCACAACAAAAATTTTCAAAAAAAAGAAAAAACTCATTTTTTTATAATAAAACTAAAGTTAAACCCAAAAAAAAGCCGACAGGACGTCTCACACGTCCATACGCGTGGTTTCCGTGGAGCTCGAACTTGCT